TAGTATTTTTAACCCAATTACCAGCATTTATGAACCATGAACGGGGTCAAATATGACCCGATGTCCGCCATACTATACCGTAAAATTTATGGATGCATAAAACGGACTTGTGCTAAATTTCATGGAAATTGCTGCATATTTAACGTATTTATGAGTATTTAAGGAGTTTTCTGGGGGTCACTTGTATGGGGGATAGGCGAAATCTTCAACCGATATTGCCCTTAATCAGTACGAAACAAACCTTACCTATAAGGGATCATAAAACGACCTGTAGTAAAATTATGCTTATTGCCAACCAATACTGATATCCAATCTACATCCATTCCGAATAAAAGTCCACCCAAAATAAAAAAGCCTTAAATACGCTAAACTCAAAATTTACACATACACTAAAATCAAAATTTACACATGTGTGCACATTTCACTGTATGTATTTCTTTTCCTTGCTTCTTTCTTTCACAGATGGATAAAAAACCACCTTGCTATGTTTGCCGCAGAAATCATCCGCTGAAGTATTGCCTTCAGTTCAAGGAGTGGAGCGTTGAGGTACGTCAATTGACCGTATAAAATAAAGGGTTCTGTCTTAACTGTTTGGCCTATGATGACGTACGTTCTTGGTGTACATCTAAGAAACGATGCAATTTCGAAAAAACGTATTTTGTAACGCCAAGCACAATGCGCTGCCGCATATAGGGAGTTGAAGGCGATTTTTTTGCAAAAAGAGGCGATGAAGGGGCTGCTTCTCAATTCCGGCCTTATATAAAAACAGCTGTACCAGTTACCACTTTAGAGGCAAAGGAAATTAATCCGGAAAATGGGACTCAGACTGCTAAGCCCCGTATTGAAAATATATCATCATCCAACCAAACGGATCATGTCATTATGAAATCCAATACAACCTCTCCTAGAGCTAAAGCTATTACAGCTTGACAGTATAGGGCGTCCTACAATTAAGTTACCAGAACATATTTTGGACCCCTGTCTATTAAAGCATTTCAAACCATATGAGCCACTTGCCCATCTATTTTTTCCAACTTGGCGAGAAATTGATGGTGTACTTGGCTACGATGTCATTTCAAAATTAATAAAACCAAATTTACCTCGAATACAACAAACGAAGCTCGGTTGGGAAGTTTATGGTGTCTGGAAAGGATGTTCAACAAGTATTTTTAATAATGTTTTAATTTAATCTGTTTTTCGTTCTCTTCTTTTACATATCTTTATCATTTAAATAATTTATGTTTAGGTAGTTTTTAAGATTTTCTTCTCTTTTAATAAAATCAATGTACCTTTGAAATTGAAACCATCAACAACAGCTTGGTTCTACTTTTATTGTTTTGTACAATCAGTCACAGCAGAGACCTATGATTTGTTAATACAAAGGTATTAACTAAAGGTTCCTCAATAATTGGAGGAAAATTCATATTGCCTGTCTACAACAACAACTAAAGGAGCTATGAGCTCAAACAATTTGTATGGATACCATTATTTGGTAATGAGTTAGGTACGTTTATGTGATTTTCGGGAGTGGACCTTGTATGGGAGCTATGACCAAGTATGAACCGATCGTGAAAAAAGTTTACAGTATCATTTCTGTATATAAAGGCAATATTTGTGCCTTTATATGTATGGATATCATTATTTGGTAATGTGTAATGTGCACTTAAAAGGTACTTTACATTATGTGATTTTGTATTAGAGTATTATTTGAAAATGTATTGCAATCTAAAACCCTAAAACATTTTGTAGTTTAAAATGTATTGAGCTTTTGAAAAGTTTTATATTTCTAACATTTTACAAAATACACAATTAGTTTGTAGTTTCTTTTTGGATTGTCATTTAAAGTTTTATTTTCTTTTATTTTTCCTCAAAATTTTCTTCATAAGCCTTTTGAAAGCGCAAATAAACCAAAAAAAACTGTTTTCATAATACATGAATGAAAATAAATTAGATTTTGTATTAAATATAATGAAACTCTGATACTAATACAAAGTATTGTAATGTAAAACCCCTTTAGGTGATTTTCGGGAGGGGACCTTCGAAGAAAATATCGATTTTTTTCAGTTTTTGCTCAAATATGGCCATTTAGTAATAAATTTTGAACTTTATTGTAAAGGAATCGTAATGTGCACAGAGTAAGCATTTCGGAAAGATGTAAAACACAAAAATTGCTTGAAGACTTTAAAAGTAATTGCAAATTGCCCAGGCCATTAACGCGTCTCACAGCACATAAATTCGAAATGTGTCAAAAAAATTTACTTTTTTTGGGATATATTCTAAAAAATAATTTTGTTACTTAAAATATATCTGTAATTACTCGAATATTAGTTTTTGCCCTTATAAGATAACGCTAACTCGTTCTCAGCTATGGTCAAAAAAGTTTGATTTTTTCAACGGTCGTTTCAAAGCTCCAATTTCAGTTTTTTTGAAACTTTGTTAAACAAATTTCTAAAGTTTTAGGAGATCTCATGGGGATTTATGGTCAATAGATAAGGCTATTAAACGGTAAAAATATTAGATAAATATTTTTTACAGTTTAGCTGTACCTGCGATTTGAACTCGGCGGATTTCGGAAAAATAGCATATTTTTATAATATTTTAGAGAATACGTATTAATTCTTTATTGTTGCATATTTTCCATAGTCAAAAAGGGTTAATTCATAAGCTTTTATACTTAATATAGAATTTTTTGTTTTATTTCCCAAGAATTCCCAAATATTGCAAAATTTGACCTTTGAACTCTACAGTTTATGGTTTAAGAATGTCCGATTTTAATAAAACTTCGGATATATATTTTGTATTATCTAGACTATAATACTCTGATAATACTTTATTTAAAATATGCACCAGTAAAGAATTAGTACGTATTCTCTAAAATATTACAAAAAAATGCGATTTTCCCGAAATCTACCGAGTTCAAATCGCAGGTACAGGTAAACTGTAAGAAATATTGATGTAATTTTTTTACCTTTTAATAGCGTTATCTATCGACCATAAATCCCCATGAGACCTCCTAAAAATTATAACATATACATAATAGCAATTACCGTTCATTACGCGTATAATTAAATATATTTTTATTAATATAACTAGCTTTACCCAGTGTGCTTTGCTACACTAAAAGCAGTATAAATAAAAAACCCACTTAACGATTTTGAAGATTCTAACTGCAATAGTTCTCTAAATTACAATATGTTACATATTAGAGATTCCAAGCAAATTACTGAAAGTTCGCCAATTTCTATCTATCTATGAAAAAATGTTCCCAAAATGTTCAGTTGAATATTAAAGTAATTTATGCAAAATTTGAGGAATCTAGTTCTATTAGTTTCCCAGATAAATGAATTTTTGTATTTAATTAATATGGGAAGTGCCAAGTCCCCCATTTAAAGTCCGCCAATTATTCCCTAAATGTTCACATTAATGTCAAAGTACTTCATGTAATATTTAAAGATTCTACATCTAATAGTTTCTCAAATATCAAAATCCAAAATATTTGTATTTAAACAAAAGTTACTTGTACAAAATTTGGGGACTCTGTAGTGGTGTGTTGTGTCAGCTGTTTGTTTAAATAAACAAACAGACAACTTAAAGAACAAAAAGGGACAGAGTGGCCAGATTGCTAGCGGCGCTGGTATGCCCGCGTATTGCGCGGCTAAAGCTCGCCGGATGGGGTGGTTCTTGCCGGCAATCTGGACCACAGACACACACTAACACAAAAATTCATACCAGCATTTGGGGTATTATTAGAAAAAGGGGGCCAAAAGTAGTCCTGTATCTCCCTACGGTCATACCTATACACAATATGACCCTCCCTCTCGAGGATTCATCCTCGCCATGACGTCATCTTCCTCGACGTCCCAGATCATCCCTGCAAACATTTAGTCACCCTACTTACCGCCGATTAGTAATAAAGTTAGCCAGTCATATTAATGATAATAAACTTTTAAATTTTCATTTAAACATTATAAAGGTTTTGGTTTATTAAAAAAATTAACAATGTCTCATCGAAATTTAGGCTTAGCAAAAATTCAATTTGAGTTTTAGAAAAATGTTAAAATATTAGCAAATTTTAATTATCCAACTTCAGATGATAATTATTAACAAATTAAGTTTTTAACAATTTGGAAAATTTTAGTTTTTAGCAAATTTAGTTTTTAGTTTTTAGATTTAAGATTTTCACAAACTTTAGTTTTTTAAGTATTAACAAAATTTAGTTTTTAAGTTTTAACAAAATTTAGTTTTTAAGTTTTAACAAGATTTAGTTTTTAAGTTTTAACAAGATGTAGTTTTAAAGTTTTAACAAAATTTAGTTTTTTAGGATTTTAGCTTTTTAGATTTTAAGATTTAATCAAATTTTAGATTTTAAGTTTAATTTAAGTTTTTACATTTACTTTGAGTTTTTTTTCTTCTTTTTTTCTAATTTAAATACCACTTTTACTTTCAGGTTCGCAATAGACTGGACTAATCTCCCAAGGATCAACGTTTATTGACGACCGGTGGTGAATGTACAGGTTTTCTGTCCGTCCGTATTAGTTTGTTCGGGTATTTCAGGTAAGTAATGAATAATATATTATAAGAACCTTTTAAATAATTTGTTTTTTTTTCTTCTTTCTTCTTTCTTTTTTTTTGTATATACTGGTTTCCGGCAACCTATGAGTTAAAATCTACCGCGGGATTGTTCTTAACTTTCTTCTTAAATTTTTCCCTACTACAGGGTGCACACGACAAACCGTACCATTCTGTAATCCATTTATGAATACAGAATGGGGTGGAAAAATTTGCGCCCTGAATTTATGAATTTCCCTAATTTTAAAAATTTTCTGGGATTTTGGGCATTTCTTTTATTCCCAACAAAAAAAATTAGCAATATGGCAACCCTTATTCCATTCACAAACAAAAGTGCGACTCTGTACCGCCGTTAAAATAGGTCGGGCGGCGAAGTACTCTGAATTTACTACACAGGTGTTTGAATGAAATGGAAGGGGAGGAGAGAGAATGCAAAAATACGCATTTATTAAGATTTTTCAATGGCGGTGGCCAACAATGGCAATGAAATTTTTTTTTTTTATGAAATTTTTATTTTTGAATATACTTAATTTTATTTTGAAATTTTAATAGCAAAATGTCCCAAAATATTAATAAAATTTTTCTTATATTTTCTTTTCAGGAATTGACGACGGATGCTGCAGATTCTGGTGGAATATTGGTAAGTAAAAATTTATTGAATTCATTCAAGGTCAACAAAAATTGTAATGCTTTTTTTTGTTTGTTTCTTTCAGGAATGTGGCTACAGTTAGCTATTGGGTAGGTGCTGATGTAATTTCTGGAGTTGGACATGTGCAAGGTAAGTGAAAATGGATTTTAAGTGTAAAATTTAAAATAAAGTGTTTTAAAAATAAAAGTTAAAGTGTTATTAGGGATTTTTGGAAGCTACAGTGAGTGTGAAAAGTGTGTGCGAAAAAAACTAAATAAAAGTGTTTTAAGTAAGTGTAATGTGTTATTGTGATAAAAAAAAAATAAAATTTGGAAAATACAGTGAGTACGAAAAGTGCACGGACGGACAATTACAATGTAAAAAAAACTAAAAAAAGAAAATAATAAAAATTAATAACTTATTTCCGGTAAAAATTTAAAATCTAAAAATTATTTTTCCTGAAATTACAGTGCGGGACAAAAGTGAAGTGTAAAACAAAATTAAAGGTAAGAAAGAAATTAAATGAAGCTATTGTGTAAAACGGATTTGTGTCTGTGAATAAAAATAAAAATGGAATATACAGTGTGCGACAAAAGTAAAATAAAAAAGTTAAAAGTGAAAATAAAATTAAACTATTGTGCGAATGAATTGTTGACGGTAAATAAAAAAATAAAAACTAAAAACGGAATTTACAGTGACGATTAAAAGTGTGTGGTGTTAAAAAAAAAAAAAAATAAAAGTGAATAAAAATGAAAGTGAAACTGAAACTAAAGTGATGGTAAATTAAGCCGGTGTAAAACAAAAATAAAAGAATACATTGAAAAACAAAAGTGTTGTGACACAATAAAAAAAATTATTCTTGGTGTTAAGTGAATATTTTGACCGTGTGTGTGGAGGAACTGTGTGGTGTAAAATAAAACTAATTTTGGATAATACGGTGGCGGATAAAAGTGTGAGTTTTTGAAACAAAATAAAGAAATAAGACTATTGAACTGGGCTATGGTGTTGTTAATTAATTGAAACTTAAAAATTTTTTTACAGTGGTGTGCAAAATTAAACGAAAATTTTTGAAAAATTACTAAAAGAAATTGATGAAAAGGAAAGTATTAAGGCGAGTAAAAAAAACTTGTTTATAACAACTATTGTGAGATTTAGGTAAAAATGTAAAGAAAACTATTGTGGAAAAAAGTGAATTAAATAACGAAAACGGGTGTTCGCAAAAAGTGTGCTGTGAATAAATGCGTAGAAGAAAACTAAAACTCTCAAAATAAAAGTGAAAAATAATAAAAAAATTTGAAAATGTTTAAAAATAAAGTATTAATTCAGTTTTTTTTTTTGTAATTCATATGTTTTTTATATTTTTCTTTTATTATTTTTTTTATAATTTTTTCTATATTTTTAATATTTTTTGTGTTTTTTTTATATAATTTTACTAATTATGTGAATTCTCTATACTTTCAGATTAAACTTCTAGAGGATCTTGAACTTCAAACTGGCCTTAGATTTCGTTTAGGATCCGTAAGTATAAAAATACAAGAAAATAAAATAATGTTACTTATTCTCCACTGTAACACAAGGACTAAGTCCACCAAAGCTCGTAGAATAAACTATAGAGACTTTGGCGGGAAATACCCCTTGTAACTACATTAAACAAAAACTAATTTGAGTGCTTCCACTTTCTTTACAGAACACTAATCCAACACCTGAGGAAAGTGAAGTGGAAGATCGAGAACCTAGTGAAAGGTCAGGTAAGTCTCTTATTAGAGAGAGTTCGGTGGAAATGCAAGGACCAAAACCACCAAAGATTTCGGGCTGAAGCCTTAGATCTTTGGCGAGAAGTGCCCCTTGACATTTTCATTTAAAACTAAAATTCTACACTAATAGAAATAAGAGTGTTACGTTATAAAATTTTCTAAAAGAGAATCCTAATAAACATTTTCATAACACAATTCATAAATATTCTTTTAGAAAATTTTATTGCTAACTTTAAAATAATAAAAACTAAAGTTTCGTTTCCCTACAGGTTATTAAGACTTCAAGTGTCCCTGAGAAGGACGAACTGAAGGGGCGAAACTCCACTAAGAAGCCAAATTCAGTGTAATTCATGGGACTTGGCAAGTATTTATAATGCAATAATTAAAATTTTAAATTTATTACTATTTGAAACCCTACTAAAGTCCTTCAAACTTTTTCCAGGTTGCAACAACAAGAACAACAACAATAGAGAAGCAAATGAGAGCAGTGAAGCAGATAATCCGGGTGAGTGAATAGTTATAAAAGTAGATTATATTAGACAATATATTTTGTCGACTGGACAGCTAGTTTAAGTAGTTTACGTCGGACTCCGTAGGAACCATAACCTTTTATAATTAGAGCAGAATTCTGTAGTAATAACAAAATAAAGTTTAGAAAAACTATGAAACAAGGTCTTAAACTACTTGTTATTACTACTGACTTCAAATGAATTGTGGTTAGTATAGTTACTGATTATATTCTGGACGAAACTGAAGATTCTGTACTACCAATCATTTATATCTCAGCCGGTGACAATCTGCTTACGGAATGAACAACTACATGTTGGTCTTCCATTATGTATTGTCCCAATTGTTTCCTTTGGTATCGGCTCGCTGTAAGATCGGACTCAGAATTGCGTCATTGCCCTAGGTGACTAATAACCCTTACGCCTTGAATGGCACGGTACCGGAAGGCTTTGATGGGGTTGCACCTTCTAATAGGGTAATGACCGGTTACACATGTAATCAGCTAAGAAACGTTGGCCTTAAGTCGATCCAAACAAATAATTACTCATTCCAAAGAAGCTATGGATCTCACTGGACTATGATATAAATGAAAGTTATGTACAGATCTCAGTACTGCTCAGGACACAACAATAACTATACCAAACAGAAATTCACTGCAAATTGGAAAAGGAAAATACAGATTACTATGAAGACTCAACAGAAAGTATTTAAAAAAAAATAGGTACCCATTTAGGCACACTGTAGGTGACTAGTAGACGCTGTCAACCAGTAGATATTCAGGAAGAAATGTCAGGACTAGAACCACCAAAGATATTGAAGCTATTGCTTCAAATCTTTGGCGTGAAAAACCCCTAACGATTTCCCCTGAAAATCTTCGACCTCATATAAACTGTTACCGACTGGTCGGACGATTCGGCATTTTAGAAATTTTCGGGCGAATTTAGCGTTGAAATTGTTTTTAAAATCGCTCTGCTGGAAGTTACGTCGGTAGACTTCTTGACCGGGTATGAATTTGACTGGACGACACCGCGTGTTATACGATTTCTCGTTGCGAGCGTAGGCTTTATGTAGATTTTCGCGAATTCTCTGCCGTATCAAAACCAATCTATCAGCATTCGGAATGACGTTAGTTTCGGGATCGTTTAAGATTCTAAGTTTGCCAACTGGTATACACTACCATGGCCAATCATATTCATTCCGAATAAGGCGAAATAAGGCGTAACTCCTATCGACGACTGCACGGAAGACCTTAAGGAAAACTCAATTTCGGACAAATGCTTGTCCCATTCTGTATGGTCTTCCTGCAGATACGACCTTACGGCTGCTAAGATAGATTGGTTAACCCGCTCGGATGCATTAGCTTGCGGCGAGTGAGTTGCAGTTCTAACATGTCTGAATTCTTTACTTACGAACTGCTTTCCATTGTCCGAAACGATTGTTTCCGGAGTTCCAAACTTACTGAGCGTAGTATTCGCCGACTTGGCCTCCTTGCAGGTTTGGCACTTTCTTACGTAGTTTCTGATTTGGACATTTTGATTCGGCCAATAAAAATATTCTTCCACTCTATAAAGAGTCTTCCCAATGCCTCCATGAGACGCTTGTGGAGAATCATGACATGCTTTTATGATGTCCTCTGTCAGATCTAGCGGTACCCATAACTTCCACGCGAAATCTTCATTCGTAGCTATACCGTCGTAAGGTTTAGTGCGTTTATAGATGAAACCATCGACGACTTTTAAATCGGGCAATTGTTCGGCATTTTTCTCGACTGTGTCTATGAGGTTACGATAATTTTCTGACCGGAAAAAAACTGAAGTTAGGTCAATGGGTTTAGGTACGTTTAACGAGATTTCGTCCATATCATAGCGAGAGAGGGTATCGGGTACTACATTTTACTTCCCCTGCCTGTGTTCAATCGTAAAATCGTACGATTGCAGATGTAGACGACCTGTCAAATCTTTATGACTCATAAGCCACTTCAGACTACTATGGTCCGTAATGACGGTAAAAGGCATCAACTCTATGTAGGGTCTAAACTTCTTAATTGCCAAGACTACAGCTAAACATTCTCGTTCAGTTACAGAATAGTTTTTCTGCGCTGACGTTAGTTTGTGTGAAAAGTAGGCTATTGGGTGCTCTCCATCGGAATCATCCTTCTGGAAAAGCACTGCACCAATACCTACGTCAGACGCATCACACTGAACGAAGAAATGTCTGTTGAAATCAGGATGATTAAGGAGTGGACTTGAAACTAGAGCTTCCTTGAGACGATCAAACGCGACCTTGGCTTCCTCCGAAAACTTGAATTGTTTACCCTTCTTCAGCGTTTCAAAGATTGGGGCTGCAATGGTAGCATAGTCTGGTATAAATTTCCTATACCAGCCTGTTGCTCCCATGAAGCTCCGCACCTGTCTTGCTGTCTTAGGATAAGCAAAACGAGTAATGGTTTCTACTTTGGACGGATCAGGTTTCAGTTTGCCACCTCCAACTATGTATCCTAGATATCTTAACTCCTTAAAACAAAATTTAGACTTCGCCACATTGATGGTCAGACCTGCTTTTGCTAAACAGATAGATACACGTTTCAACAATTCCAGATGTGTTTCGAATTCTGGAGATACAATCAAAAGATCGTCCAGATAGACGAAAACCCTATCACGAAGTGCTGCGGGGATCACTTTATCCATTAAACGGCATAACCTTTGAGCTGCATTGCACAACCCAAAAGGCATGACCGTAAAATGATTGAGCGGTCGTCCTGGCACCGTGAATGCGGTTTTCTCTTTACTGGGCGATTCTAGTGGTATCTGCCAGAACACGTCTTTTAGGCCAACACTGGAGATGTATATCGTGTCTCCCAAACGACTGAGCAAACCTTCGATGTGCGGCAATGGATAGGCATCCTTGACTGTCAGTGCATTGAGCTTACGTGCGTCCAGGCACAGCCGGTTTTTCTCGCCCCTGCGGACCAGAGTAACTGGATGACTCCATGGACTTTCACTAAGCTCAATCACACCGAGGTCAAGCATCCTATCGAGCTCCGCGTACATCAACTTTTGCACTGCCGGGGAGACAGGATAGTGACGATATTTAACTGGAATTGCATCTCGAGTATCTATCGTATGCATTTCCAAATTGGTTTTTCCTAAGCCCCTTTTACTGTAGCAGGGGAACATCGATATGACGAAATCTAATCTTTGTCGCTGATCCGGGGTCAGCTTATGAGTCACGAAATCTAGGGTACTATCTTCCTCTTCGCAGAGACTAACACCATTAGTCGTAAGACTCTCGAGACTGGCAAACATTTTAAAAACCTTCATAAAATCGACCCCCAAGAAGAGCTCTCGATTCAGAGTAGGCACTAAATAGAATGTGATATCATTTACCGCATCACGAAACCTAACTTCAGCCCAGACACGACCGACTATCGGATGATTGGTACCATCTGCTGTTTTTATAACACTACTAAATTCGTGAACCTCAAGACCGGCGTCATTAACGAACTTTAGACAATTCCTACCGAGACAAGTTACCGTTGCCCCGCTATCAAGTAAACCGATTATACTTTGGCCGCCTATACTTAATCGCGTATACAGTCGTGAGTCTTCACCCTCGTAAAGTGAAGTCGACGAGATTTCATGACGTAACCTTTTTCTTGTCCTATAGCGCTCTCGGGCTTTTCTAATCTTATTTGTCACTCGACCGAATATTCTACCTTTTGCTTCATTGTACTCTTGAATTCGAATATGCTGGGGTTTGAGTTCTCGGAGACGGGGCTTAGATTTGAACTCAAACTCCGACCTATTCGGATTCTTTAATATTCTCAATTGTGATTGTTGTTGTTGTTTTTCCCTAACCTGTACTGGGCCTATACCTCGGTCGACCTCGCCTCCCCAGTTCGAGACGGGTTCCGGGACCTGTTTCCCTGACATTTGGGACATTTAGGGGCCACCTCGTTATCTTTACCACACCGGAAGCAAAACTGTCTATTAATGGGCTCGGGACAGTCGACAAAACTATGACCGACGACCTTGCAATTCCAGCAGGTATAGTGACTTGTAGACCTAATACCATCAACCTCCAAATCTATCAGAGACAAATCCTCGTCCTCACAAACCAGTTCATTCACCCGATGCGTGACATTAGCTCGCTGATATAGTTGCCTTTGGTTGTTTATCAAATTTTCTGCTCGCCTTACTTCCCGACAAAACTCGGACAAAGTTTTAAGCCGAACAGAAAACATAATTTGAGCCAATGATGGCTTTAAATTACCACGCATGATCTCCACCAACTGCTCCTCCGCATATGGGTGCTGTTGCTGGTTTCGGAGCTTAATAACCGCGTTATAAAAATCGTCGAAAGCATCCTGCGGCAGCTGCCGGCGGTTCAGGATTTTCATTTGAACCTCATGTTCCTGCTCGAACCGGCGGTATTGGGCCAAGATGGCTTTCTCCAGCTCCTCCCAGGTATTAATGTGGACAATTTTTCGATAATCCCAGTACCAGTCTAGAGCGGGGCCGTCTAGAAGGAGATGGAAACTCCTCAGGATTTCATCATCAGAGCATCCGTAATCCCTCCTCAACGCTCCAACTCTAAAAATGAATTCTTGGACATTCATAGTTTTGCTGGTCCCATCAAATCTAACACCCCATTTGGCTAATTTAAACTTATCCAAGGACTCTTGAGGTCTTGGCCTCGACATGGCCAAGTTGTAGTTTAGAGGCGGTGGCTGTTGTTGATGAGGTGGCCCAGACCAAGTATCCTGTGGATACCCAGCCTGGGACGCACTTTGCCGTTGAAAATTTGCCTGTGGCTCTGGCTGCGGCCATAATTGCGGTTGCTGAATAAAAGCGTGAGCTGACGGTTGGACGTACGGCAACTGGTTTTGTGGTTGCGGCTGGTTATGCTGTTGCGCTGGCAGTAGGTTCTGGGGGTTTCCCTGCGACCAATGTTGCTGCGGCTGACTGTAACACGCCGCCGGCTGCTGGATAAGCGCTGTTTCGCTGATGAATGTCGGGGACACTACCGTCTGATTTGCCCCGTCAGAACTAATGGACAGATCATGGGATGTTTGGGCACTAATCAGTGGATTGGAGTCGCTGGTTGAAGTTGTAGCTGTGGTTGTATTGGTTGTGGGAACGGTGGACGTCGTGATAGATGTGGTGGTTGAGGTGTCGATACCACAAGTGACACTGCTTCCAGTCGTGGCCATAGCGTTATCTTGCCCTATTAAACGACTTGCACGACGAGTCAACACCATTAAAAACAAATAAAATTAATGTAAAATTCACTATTGCAAAAAGGCTTGTATATATTTATATTTACAAAAAAAGTTCGTAGTCCGAATCTTTAGCAGCGTAGATATCGAAGAAAATATAAAACTAAAAGATTTTCCACCTTTCAAAAAAAGAAAAATTAAAAAACTCAAAAAAAAAAAAAAAAAAACTCAAATAACTTGAATGCGGGCGGCATTTTCGGGTGAATAAAAGTTTGCAGGTAAGATTTCGCAATTTACATTTCTGATTTGTGTATAGATATATAGATAGATATAGATATGACCTAATTCTTTTTCCTATTCTGGTTTCAGGAGATGCAGAGTACTAACAACTAACAAAACAACAAAAGGATGGACAAAAACCAACTGTCTTTCTACAGTACGTACTAATGAGGTGCAACTTGACCAGGGTTACGTTCTCCTAGTATTCAAGGACTACCTTCCTAGACCTCCTGCAGAACTAAAACGTAAGTATTTTTACATTAAGACAACTAGTTCAGGGTTACTGTAATCTAAAGGGATGTTGTCGCTATCCTTCCTTCCAACTTGAGCATTTAGAGAATAAACTGTGTCTATTATCTCTAAGCCTCAAGTTGTTAAGAAAGGATAGCAACGGATGAATCCAGAATTCTGCATGACCCTATTGCCCACACCAGATGTCGCAACGCGATCGGGACTCTTTAGTCCTCGAGACCGGGACTTACATCTGTGAGAACAATAGGTGTCATGCGCAATTAGGGATTCATACCTATTGAAACTAAAAGGAAGAAAAAAAAATTAAAAATGTCAATACACTACGTAGCTACAGCTAGGGACTCTTATTAACCTAACCGGCCTACGCAGACTTCAGGGAAATGATAGTTCCTATAAATTGGTCTATGGACCTACTTCGGGCCCCACGTTGGGCGCCATTTATGTAGTGGTGTGTTGTGTCAGCTGTTTGTTTAAATAAACAAACAGACAACTTAAACAACAAAAAGGGACAGAGTGGCCAGATTGCTAGCGGCGCTGGTATGCCCGCGTATTACGCGGCTAAAGCTCGCCGGATGGGGTGGTTCTTGCCGGCAATCTGGACCACAGACACACACTAACACAAAAATTCATACCAGCATTTGGGGTATTATTAGAAAAAGGGGGCCAAAAGTAGTCCTGTATCTCCCTACGGTCATACCTATACACAATATGACCCTCCTTCTCGAGGATTCATCCTCGCCATGACGTCATCTTCCTCGACGTCCCAGATCTTCCCTGCAAACATTTAGTCACCCTACTTACCGCCGATTATTAATAAAGTTAGCCAGTCATATTAATGATAACAAACTTTTAAATTTTCATTTAAACATTATAAAGGTTTCGGTTTATTAAAAAAAATTAACAATGTCTCATCGAAATTTAGGCTTAGCAAAAATTCAATTTGAGTTTTAGAAAAATGTTAAAATATTAGCAAATTTTAATTATCCAACTTCAGATGATAATTATTAACAAATTAAGTTTTTAACAATTTGGAAAATTTTAGTTTTTAGCAAATTTAGTTTTTAGTTTTAAGATTTAAGATTTTCACAAACTTTAGTTTTTTAAGTATTAACAAAATTTAGTTTTTAAGTCTTAACAAAATTTAGTTTTTAAGTTTTAACAAGATTTAGTTTTTAAGTTTTAACAAGATGTAGTTTTAAAGTTTTAACAAAATTTAGTTTTTTAGGATTTTAGCTTTTTAGATTTTAAGATTTAATCAAATTTTAGATTTTAAGTTTAATTTAAGTTTTTACATTTACTTTGAGTTTTTTTTTTCTTCTCTTTTTCTAATTTAAATACCACTTTTACTTTCAGGTTCGCAATAGACTGGACTAATCTCCCAAGGATCAACGTTTATTGACGACCGGTGGTGAATGTACAGGTTTTCTGTCCGTCCGTATTAGTTTGTTCGGGTATTTCAGGTAAGTAATGAATAATATATTATAAGAACCTTTTAAATAATTTGTTTTTTTTTTTTTTTTCTTCTTTCTTTTTTTTTGTATATACTGGTTTCCGGCAACCTATGAGTTAAAATCTACCGCGGGATTGTTCTTAACTTTCTTCTTAAAATTTTCCCTACTACAGGGTGCACACGACAAACCGTACCATTCTGTAATCCATTTATGAATACAGAATGGGGTGGAAAAATTTGCGCCCTGAATTTATGAATTTCCCTAATTTTAAAAATTTTCTGGGATTTTGGGCATTTCTTTTATTCCAAAAAAAAAAAAAAATTAGCAATATGGCAACCCTTATTCCATTCACAAACAAAAGTGCGACTCTGTACCGCCGTTAAAATAGGTCGGGCGGCGACGTACTCTGAATTTACTACACAGGTGTTTGAATGAAATGGAAGGGGAGGAGAGAGAATGCAAAAATACGCATTTATTAAGATTTTTCAATGGCGGTGGTCAACAATGGGAAGTACTTTAATAGCAAAATGTCCCAAAATATTAATAAAATTTTTCTTATATTTTCTTTTCAGGAATTGACGACGGATGCTGCAGATTCTGGTGGAATATTGGTAAGTAAAAATTTATTGAATTCATTCAAGGTCAACAAAAATTGTAATGCTTTTTTTGTTTGTTTCTTTCAGGAATGTGGCTACAGTTAGCTATTGGGTAGGTGCTGATGTAATTTCTGGAGTTGGACATGTGCAAGGTAAGTGAAAATGGATTTTAAGTGTAAAATTTAAAATAAAGTGTTTTAAAAATAAAAGTTAAAGTGTTATTAGGGATTTTTGGAAGCTACAGTGAGTGTGAAAAGTGTGTGCGAAAAAAACTAAATAAAAGTGTTTTAAGTAAGTGTAATGTGTTATTGTGGTAAAAAAAAATAAAATTTGGAAAATACAGTGAGTACGAAAAGTGCACGGACGGACAATTACAATGTAAAAAAACTAAAAAAAGAAAATAATAAAAATTAATAACTTATTTCCGGTAAAAATTTAAAATCTAAAAATTATTTTTCCTGAAATTACAGTGCGGGACAAAAGTGAAGTGTAAAACAAAATTAAAGTGAAAAATTAAAGGTAAGAAAGAAATTAAATGAAGCTATTGTGTAAAACGGATTTGTGTCTGTGAATAAAAATAAAAATGGAATATACAGTGTGCGACAAAAGTAAAATAAAAAAGTTAAAAGTGAAAATAAAATTAAACTATTGTGCGAATGAATTGTTGACGGTAAATAAAAAATAAAAACTAAAAACGGAATTTACAGTGACGATTAAAAGTGTGTGGTGTTAAAAAAAAAAAAATAAAAGTGAATAAAAATGAAAGTGAAACTGAAACTAAAGTGATGGTAAATTAAGCCGGTGTAAAACAAAAATAAAAGAATACATTGAAAAACAAAAGTGTTGTGACACAATAAAAAAAAATTATTCTTGGTGTTAAGTGAATATTTTGACCGTGTGTGTGGAGGAACTGTGTGGTGTAAAATAAAACTAATTTTGGAAAATACGGTGGCGGATAAAAGTGTGAGTTTTTGAAACAAAATAAAGAAATAAGACTATTGAACTGGGCTATGGTGTTGTTAATTAATTGAAACTTAAAAATTTTTTTACAGTGGTGTGCAAAATTAAACGAAAATTTTTGAAAAATTACTAAAAGAAATTGATGAAAAGGAAAGTATTAAGGCGAGTAAAAAAAACTTGTTTATAACAACTATTGTGAGATTTAGGTAAAAATGTAAAGAAAACTATTGTGGAAAAAAGTGAATTAAATAACGAAAACGGGTGTTCGCAAAAAGTGTGCTGTGAATAAATGCGTAGAAGAAAACTAAAACTCTCAAAATAAAAGTGAAAAATAATAAAAAAATTTGAAAATGTTTAAAAATAAAGTATTAATTCAGTTTTTTTTTTGTAATTCATATGTTTTTTATATTTTTCTTTTATTATTTTTTTATAATTTTTTCTATATTTTTAATATTTTTTGTGTTTTTTTTTTATATAATTTTACTAATTATGTGAATTCTCTATACTTTCAGATTAAACTTCTAGAGGATCTTGAACTTCAAACTGGCCTTAGATTTCGTTTAGGATCCGTAAGTATAAAAATACAAGAAAATAAAATAATGTTACTTATTCTCCACTGTAACACAAGGACTAAGTCCACCAAAGCTCGTAGAATAAACTATAGAGACTTTGGCGGGAAATACCCCTTGTAACTACATTAAACAAAAACTAATTTGAGTGCTTCCACTTTCTTTACAGAACACTAATCCAACACCTGAGGAAAGTGAAGTGGAAGATCGAGAACCTAGTGAAAGGTCAGGTAAGTCTCTTATTAGAGAGAGTTCGGTGGAAATGCAAGGACCAAAACCACCAAAGATTTCGGGCTGAAGCCTTAGATCTTTGGCGAGAAGTGCCCCTTGACATTTTCATTTAAAACTAAAATTCTACACTAATAGAAATAAGAGTGTTACGTTATAAAATTTTCTAAAAGAGAATCCTAATAAACATTTTCATAAGACAATTCATAAATATTCTTTTAGAAAATTTTATTGCTAACTTTAAAATAATAAAAACTAAAGTTTCGTTTCCCTACAGGTTATTAAGACTTCAAGTGTCCCTGAGAAGGACGAACTGAAGGGGCGAAACTCCACTAAGAAGCCAAATTCAGTGTAATTCATGGGACTTGGCAAGTATTTATAATGCAATAATTAAAATTTTAAATTTATTACTATTTGAAACCCTACTAAAGTCCTTCGAACTTTTTCCAGGTTGCAACAACAAGAACAACAACAATAGAGAAGCAAATGAGAGCAGTGAAGCAGATAATCCGGGTGAGTGAATAGTTATAAAAGTAGATTATATTAGACAATATATTTTGTCGACTGGACAGCTAGTTTAAGTAGTTTACGTCGGACTCCGTAGGAACCATAACCTTTTATAATTACAGCAGAATTCTGTAGTAATAACAAAATAAAGTTTAGAAAAACTATGAAACAAGGTCCTAAACTACTTGTTATTACTACTGACTTCAAATGAATTGTGTTTAGTATAGTTACTGATTATATTCTGGACGAAACTGAAGATTCTGTACTACCAATCATTTATATCTCAGCCGGTGACAATCTACTTACGGAATGAACAACTACATGTTGGTCTTCCATTATGTATTGTCCCAATTGTTTCCTTTGGTATCGGCTCGCTGTAAGATCGGACTCAGAATTGCGTCATTGCCCTAGGTGACTAATAACCCTTACGCCTTGAATGGCACGGTACCGGAAGGCTTTGATGGGGTTGCACCTTCTAATAGGGTAATGACCGGTTACACATGTAATCAGCTAAGAAACGTTGGCCTTAAGTCGATCCAAACAAATAATTACTCATTCCAAAGAAGCTATGGATCTCACTGGACTATGATATAAATGAAAGTTATGTACAGATCTCAGTACTGCTCAGGACACAACAATAACTATACCAAACAGAAATTCACTGCAAATTGGAAAAGGAAAATACAGATTACTATGAAGACTCAACAGAAAGTATTTAAAAAAAAAATAGGTACCCATTCAGGCACACTGTAGGTGACTAGTAGACGCTGTCAACCAGTAGATATTCAGGAAGAAATGTCAGGACTAGAACCACCAAAGATATTGAAGCTATTGCTTCAAATCTTTGGCGTGAAAAACCCCTAACGATTTCCCCTGAAAATCTTCGACCTCATATAAACTGTTACCGACTGGTCGGACGATTCGGCATTTTAGAAATTTTCGGGCGAATTTAGCGTTGAAATTGTTTTTAAAATCGCTCTGCTGGAAGTTACGTCGGTAGACTTCTTGACCGGGTATGAATTTGACTGGACGACACCGCGTGTTATACGATTTCTCGTTGCGAGCGTAGGCTTTATGTAGATTTTCGCGAATTCTCTGCCGTATCAAAACCAATCTATCAGCATTCGGAATGACGTTAGTTTCGGGATCGTTTAAGATTCTAAGTTTGCCAACTGGTATACACTACCATGGCCAATCATATTCATTCCGAATAAGGCGAAATAAGGCGTAACTCCTATCGACGACTGCACGGAAGACCTTAAGGAAAACTCAATTTCGGACAAATGCTTGTCCCATTCTGTATGGTCTTCCTGCAGATACGACCTTACGGCTGCTAAGATAGATTGGTTAACCCGCTCGGATGCATTAGCTTGCGGCGAGTGAGTTGCAGTTCTAACATGTCTGAATTCTTTACTTACGAACTGCTTTCCATTGTCCGAAACGATTGTTTCCGGAGTTCCAAACTTACTGAGCGTAGTATTCGCCGACTTGGCCTCCTTGCAGGTTTGGCACTTTCTTACGTAGTTTCTGATTTGGACATTTTGATTCGGCCAATAAAAATATTCTTCCACTCTATAAAGAGTCTTCCCAACGCCTCCATGAGACGCTTGTGGAGAATCATGACATGCTTTTATGATGTCCTCTGTCAGATCTAGCGGTACCCATAACTTCCACGCGAAATCTTCATTCGTAGCTATACCGTCGTAAGGTTTAGTGCGTTTATAGATGAAACCATCGACGACTTTTAAATCGGGCAATTGTTCGGCATTTTTCTCGACTGTGTCTATGAGGTTACGATAATTTTCTGACCGGAAAGAAACTGAAGTTAGGTCAATGGGTTTAGGTACGTTTAACGAGATTTCGTCCATATCATAGCGAGAGAGGGTATCGGGTACTACATTTTACTTCCCCTGCCTGTGTTCAATCGTAAAATCGTACGATTGCAGATGTAGACGACCTGTCAAATCTTTATGACTCATAAGCCACTTCAGACTACTATGGTCCGTAATGACGGTAAAAGGCATCAACTCTATGTAGGGCCTAAACTTCTTAATTGCCAAGACTACAGCTAAACATTCTCTTTCAGTTACAGAATAGTTTTTCTGCGCTGAAGTTAGTTTGTGAGAAAAGTAGGCTATTGGGTGCTCTCCATCGGAATCATCCTTCTGGAAAAGCACTGCACCAATACCTACGTCAGACGCATCACACTGAACGAAGAAATGTCTGTTGAAATCAGGATGATTAAGGAGTGGACTTGAAACTAGAGCTCCTTGAGACGATCAAACGCGACCTTGGCTTCCTCCGAAAACTTGAATTGTTTACCCTTCTTCAGCGTTTCAAAGATTGGGGCTGCAATGGTAGCATAGTCTGGTATAAATTTCCTATACCAGCCTGTTGCTCCCATGAAGCTCCGCACCTGTCTTGCTGTCTTAGGATAAGCAAAACGAGTAATGGTTTCTACTTTGGACGGATCAGGTTTCAGTTTGCCACCTCCAACTATGTATCCTAGATATCTTAACTCCTTAAAACAAAATTTAGACTTCGCCACATTGATGGTCAGACCTGCTTTTGCTAAACAGATAGATACACGTTTCAACAATTCCAGATGTGTTTCGAATTCTGGAGATACAATCAAAAGATCGTCCAGATAGACGAAAACCCTATCACGAAGTGCTGCGGGGATCACTTTATCCATTAAACGGCATAACCTTTGAGCTGCATTGCACAACCCAAAAGGCATGACCGTAAAATGATTGAGCGGTCGTCCTGGCACCGTGAATGCGGTTTTCTCTTTACTGGGCGATTCTAGTGGTATCTGCCAGAACGCGTCTTTTAGGTCAACACTGGAGATGTATATCGTGTCTCCCAAACGACTGAGCAAACCTTCGATGTGCGGCAATGGATAGGCATCCTTGACTGTCAGTCAACCGATTATACTTTGGCCGCCTATACTTAATCGCGTATACAGTCGTGAGTCTTCACCCTCGTAAAGTGAAGTCGACGAGATTTCATGACGTAACCTTTTTCTTGTCCTATAGCGCTCTCGGGCTTTTCTAATCTTATTTGTCACTCGACCGAATATTCTACCTTTTGCTTCATTGTACTCTTGAATTCGAATATGCTGGGGTTTGAGTTCTCGGAGACGGGGCTTAGATTTGAACTCAAACTCCGACCTATTCGGATTCTTTAATATTCTCAATTGTGATTGTTGTTGTTGTTTTTCCCTAACCTGTACTGGGCCTATACCTCGGTCGACCTCGCCTCCCCAGTTCGAGACGGGTTCCGGGACCTGTTTCCCTGACATTTGGGACATTTAGGGGCCACCTCGTTATCTTTACCACACCGGAAGCAAAACTGTCTATTAATGGGCTCGGGACAGTCGACAAAACTATGACCGACGACCTTGCAATTCCAGCAGGTATAGTGACTTGTAGACCTAATACCATCAACCTCCAAATCTATCAGAGACAAATCCTCGTCCTCACAAACCAGTTCATTCACCCGATGCGTGACATTAGCTCGCTGATATAGTTGCCTTTGGTTGTTTATCAAATTTTCTGCTCGCCTTACTTCCCGACAAAACTCGGACAAAGTTTTAAGCCGAACAGAAAACATAATTTGAGCCAATGATGGCTTTAAATTACCACGCATGATCTCCACCAACTGCTCCTCCGCATATGGGTGCTGTTGCTGGTTTCGGAGCTTAATAACCGCGTTATAAAAATCGTCGAAAGCATCCTGCGGCAGCTGCCGGCGGTTCAGGATTTTCATTTGAACCTCATGTTCCTGCTCGAACCGGCGGTATTGGGCCAAGATGGCTTTCTCCAGCTCCTCCCAGGTATTAATGTGGACAATTTTTCGATAATCCCAGTACCAGTCTAGAGCGGGGCCGTCTAGAAGGAGATGGAAACTCCTCAGGATTTCATCATCAGAGCATCCGTAATCCCTCCTCAACGCTCCAACTCTAAAAATGAATTCTTGGACATTCATAGTTTTGCTGGTCCCATCAAATCTAACACCCCATTTGGCTAATTTAAACTTATCCAAGGACTCTTGAGGTCTTGGCCTCGACATGGCCAAGTTGTAGTTTAGAGGCGGTGGCTGTTGTTGATGAGGTGGCCCAGACCAAGTATCCTGTGGATACCCAGCCTGGGACGCACTTTGCCGTTGAAAATTTGCCTGTGGCTCTGGCTGCGGCCATAATTGCGGTTGCTGAATAAAAGCGTGAGCTGACGGTTGGACGTACGGCAACTGGTTTTGTGGTTGCGGCTGGTTATGCTGTTGCGCTGGCAGTAGGTTCTGGGGGTTTCCCTGCGACCAATGTTGCTGCGGCTGACTGTAACACGCCGCCGGCTGCTGGATAAGCGGCACATAATTTGGAGCTGGAATCAGCGGTGGTGGCTGCTGATAAGTTGGCGGGCCAAGTGGCGTTGCTGGTTGACCATATCCCGATGGCCGTGCCTCCAAAGACGTTCTGAGAGGCTGTGTAGTCGGCATTCCTTGACCGATAGGGGACATCTCGGTAGGCACTGGAGCCGCATTACTCATCGACAGCGACAAAAACAGCTGCTTCATGTCATCTAATACTTTTTGTATTTTGTTGTCGACCTCCTTCATAAATTGAACTTGGCGCAAACCCACCGAAGCATCCACTATATTCTGGATGTCATTAACTTGGATGGAATTCTCCATTCCTTGACCAGCCATACTCTCTCTCACCTCTCTACGTATGTTCTGCGCTGTTTCGCTGATGAATGTCGGGGACACTACCGTCTGATTTGCCCCGTCAGAACTAATGGACAGATCATGGGATGTTTGGGCACTAATCAGTGGATTGGAGTCGCTGGTTGAAGTTGTAGCTGTGGTTGTATTGGTTGTGGGAACGGTGGACGTCGTGATAGATGTGGTGGTTGAGGTGTCGATACCACAAGTGACACTGCTTCCAGTCGTGGCCATAGCGTTATCTTGCCCTATTAAACGACTTGCACGACGAGTCAACACCATTAAAAACAAATAAAATTAATGTAAAATTCACTATTGCAAAAAGGCTTGTATATATTTATATTTACAAAAAAAGTTCGTAGTCCGAATCTTTAGCAGCGTAGATATCGAAGAAAATATAAAACTAAAAGATTTTCCACCTTTCAAAAAAAGAAAAATTAAAAAACTCAAAAAAAAAAAAAAAAAAAAAACTCAAATAACTTGAATGCGGGCGGCATTTTCGGGTGAATAAAAGTTTGCAGGTAAGATTTCGCAATTTACATTTCTGATTTGTGTATAGATATATAGATAGATATAGATATGACCTAATTCTTTTTCCTATTCTGGTTTCAGGAGATGCAGAGTACTAACAACTAACAAAACAACAAAAGGATGGACAAAAACCAACTGTCTTTCTACAGTACGTACTAATGAGGTGCAACTTGACCAGGGTTACGTTCTCCTAGTATTCAAGGACTACCTTCCTAGACCTCCTGCAGAACTAAAACGTAAGTATTTTTACATTAAGACAACTAGTTCAGGGTTACTGTAATCTAAAGGGATGTTGTCGCTATCCTTCCTTCCAACTTGAGCATTTAGAGAATAAACTGTGTCTATTATCTCTAAGCCTCAAGTTGTTAAGAAAGGATAGCAACGGATGAATCCAGAATTCTGCATGACCCTATTGCCCACACCAGATGTCGCAACGCGATCGGGACTCTTTAGTCCTCGAGACCGGGACTTACATCTGTGAGAACAATAGGTGTCATGCGCAATTAGGGATTCATACCTATTGAAACTAAAAGGAAGAAAAAAAAAATTAAAAATGTCAATACACTATCCCGCCCGCCTACGTAGCTACAGCTAGGGACTCTTATTAACCTAACCGGCCTACGCAGACTTCAGGGAAATGATAGTTCCTATAAATTGGTCTATGGACCTACTTCGGGCCCCACGTTGGGCGCCATTTATGTAGTGGTGTGTTGTGTCAGCTGTTTGTTTAAATAAACAAACAGACAACTTAAACAACAACAAGTAAGAAAGTATAGTCGGGCGTGGCCGACCATATGATACCCTACACCAGTTATGAATATTAAATGTGATTTATTTTTCATAACAAAGCATTTATCTTCAATATTCCCTTGTTCCGATACATTTAAGCAATTTATGGATGAAAAACTAATTTTCTGAAAGAGGCTTTATATGGGGGCTAGGGGCAAATATGGACCAAGCCCGATAAAATTTTGTGAATATATTTATATTTACATAATATTTTATTGTGCTGAATTTCATCGCGATATTTGTGCTTATAACTTAATTTGGGACATTCAAGTAATTTTCTGAAGGGGACTTTGTATGGGAGCTAGGGTCAAATGGGGCCCGATCTTTATGAAATTTGGCAGGGTCATCAAAAATTCTATAAAACTTAGTTGTGCCGTATTTTATCGATATATCTGTATATTTAACATAATTATGAGCTCAGAAGCCCTTTTCGGGGGGTTCTGTTCTATGGGGGCTAGGTGAAATAATGGACCGATTTTAACCATTTTCAATAGACTTCGTACTTGGGTCAAATAAAACGTGCATGCCAAATTTCATCCAATTATCTTGACATGGACAGCCAGCCAGCCAGCCAGACGGACGGACGGACGGACATAGCTTAATCGACTCAGAAAACGATTCTAAGTCGATTGATATACTTTAAGGTGGGTCTAGGACGAATATTTTTGTATGTTACAAACATCAGCACAAATCCAATATACCCTCCCCACTAAAGTGGTGTAGGGTATAAAAAGGGACAGAGTGGCCAGATTGCTAGCGGCGCTGGTATGCCCGCGTATTACGCGGCTAAAGCTCGCCGGATGGGGTGGTTCTTGCCGGCAATCTGGACCACAGACACACACTAACACAAAAATTCATACCAGCATTTGGGGTATTATTAGAAAAAGGGGGCCAAAAGTAGTCCTGTATCTCCCTACGGTCATACCTATACACAATATGACCCTCCCTCTCGAGGATTCATCCTCGCCATGACGTCATCTTCCTCGACGTCCCAGATCTTCCCTGCAAACATTTAGTCACCCTACTTACCGCCGATTATTAATAAAGTTAGCCAGTCATATTAATGATAACAAACTTTTAAATTTTCATTTAAACATTATAAAGGTTTCGGTTTATTAAAAAAAATTAACAATGTCTCATCGAAATTTAGGCTTAGCAAAAATTCAATTTGAGTTTTAGAAAAATGTTAAAATATTAGCAAATTTTAATTATCCAACTTCAGATGATAATTATTAACAAATTAAGTTTTTAACAATTTGGCAAATTTTAGTTTTTAGCAATTTTAGTTTTAAGATTTAAGATTTTAACAAACTTTAGTTTTTTAAAAATTTAGTTTTTAAGTTTAACAAAATTTAGTTTTTAAGTTTTAACAAGATTTAGTTTTTAAGTTTTAACAAGATTTAGTTTTAAAGTTTTAACAAAATTTAGTTTTTAGGATTTTAGCTTTTTAGATTTTAAGATTTAATCAAATTTTAGATTTTAAGTTTAATTTAAGTTTTTACATTTACTTTGAGTTTTTTTTTTCTTCTTTTTTTCTAATTTAAATACCCCTTTTACTTTCAGGTTCGCAATAGACTGGACTAATCTCCCAAGGATCAACGTTTCTTGACGACCGGTGGTGAATGTACAGGTTTTCTGTCCGTCCGTATTAGTTTGTTCGGGTATTTCAGGTAAGTAATGAATAATATATTGTAAGAACCTTTTTCCGGCAACCTATGAGTTAAAATCTACCGCGGGATTGTTCTTAACTAGGCCTGAGCTCAATCCTATCCTTACGCGCACGCCTGGTTCAATTTTAACCAGCGGACTGGCTTCGAGCAACTAACGAAAGGTATGCCTACAAACAAATATATACAGTGTCTCTCATAAGTATTCGAATTTAGGTAAACTATGAAAAGAAACCAAATTAAATAATATATTTTGTGTGCAAAAAAAATAAATTAATTTGTTATATTGTCTAGATAGTCCTAAGTTTTGATATCACGCCCCTTAAAACTTGAAAACTTTACATTTACTTAAATTAGTTGTGCTTTTTTTAAAAAAAGTCCATGAAACTACTTCACAAAAGTATGCGAATTTTTCCCGTATTTCATATTTGATCATATTATACGATACACAAATTTTAGAATCGCATGGTTTTATGCTTAATATTGTTTTGAGGGGTTACTATCAACCGCATGGATATATTTTTGACCCATTTGGTCCACAATTTTGGGGGATTTGTACCCTCTTTTCATGTAATATCATTAAAATGGCGATTTTTGGCTATATTTGTATGTTTCTCACCCTTTTTCCAGAGATAAAACCAAAATTTAATATTGGATTTTAATAGAACCCATAGGGTATCTAAAAATAATATTTTTTGTTATAAGGATCTGTACTTAAACGTTCCAAGATGTATTTTTGGTATCGTTTTTCAGTTTCTAATTGAATTATCTGGATCATAAGTCCCTTTTCGTACCTCTAGGGACGATATTTTCCGACAAAGTTGTCTAGTGTATATTCATGTACATATTGGCACTAATGTAATTTAAATTTTCAATATATTATAGCGGTATACAACCCCAAAACATGCCTTAACAAAACGTCATCCTATATAGTAGATTTCAGTTTTTACTACTCGTAACTTTCACGCTTATGTAGCCCGTTACAATAACACTGTAAGTCCTAAATTTTGGTTTTAATTTGATCATAGTAAATAATATTTAAACACATATCACACATTTTTGATGTGATCATAATGATATCGTGCCATGCAGCATGGAGGCCATTGGTATATAAAAATAATGATTTTACTATTTTGAATGGTGCTTCTTCGAGGCATGTTTTGGAGTTGTACACTTCCACAACACATTGAAAACTTAAAATGTATAAAAGCTGATATCTAAAAGAATATATACCAGAAAACTTTCCCCGAAAATAGTTGATCGTAGTATTATAAAAATGGACTTAAGTTCCAATATATTGAATTAGCGACAGAAGAATGATCCGAATAATTTATCTTGGAACGTTTAAATACAGATTCTTGTAACAAAAAATATTATTTTTAGATACCCCAAAGGGTCTTTTAAGTCCCAATATCAAATTTTTGTTTTATATCTGGAAAAAAGGAGAAAAATTTGCAATTATGGCCAAAAATCGCCATTTTAATGATATTACATGAAAAGAGGGTACAAATTCCCCAAAATTGTGGACCAAATGGGCCAAAAATCTATCCTTTCCGTGGATAGTAACCCCTTAAAACAATATTACGCATAAAAACCATTCAATTCTAAAATTTGTGTTTCGTATAATATGATGAAATATGATATACAGGAAAAATTCGTATACTTTTGTGAGGCAATTTCATGGACTTTTTTTAAAAAAGCACAATTAATTTAAGTCAATGCAAATTTTTCAAGTTTTAAAAAGCGTGATATCAAACATAAGGACTATCTAGACAATATAACAAATTAATTTATTTATTTTGCACACAAAATATATTATTAAATTTGGTTTCTTTTTATAGTTTACCCAAATTCGAATAATTATGAGAGACACTGTAGCTTTTTTTTCTTTTTGTTTACTAAATTTTTTTTTTTTTATTATTTTTTTATTTTTTTTCTTCTTAAATTTTTCCCTACTACAGGGTGCACACGACAACTCTATACGTGGGACCTCGCTCATTTGAAATTTCAACATAAAAAGCAATTATAACTCCTTCCAGACATACAGGAAGATATTGTGAAAATTTCAAGAAAATCAGTTTAGCCGTTTAAACTGATTAAATAAAAAACCCACTTAACGATTTTGAAAATTCTAACTATAATAGTTTTCCAGATTAACAATATGTTACATATGAGAGATGCCAAGCAAATTATTGCAAGTTGGCCAATTTCTATCTATCTATGAAAAATTTGTATTTAATTCATATATGTGGACCCAAGCCACCCATTGAAAGTCCGTCCGTTATTCTCTAAATGTTCACATGAATGTCAAAGTTCTTCATGTAAAATTTGAAAATTCTAGCTCTAATAGTTTCTCAGATATACGAATTTGGTTCATGTGGGGGCTTCAAGCTCCCCGGATGAAAGTCCGCCCTTTTTCCTCCAAAATATTCAGATGAATATTAAAATAATTTGTTCAAAATTTAAAGAATCTAGTTCTATTAGTTTCCCAGTTAAACGAAATTTTGTATTTAATTCATATGGGAGGTACCAAGTACCCCATTGGAAGTCCGCCCGTTATACTCTAAATGTTCAGATGAATGTCAAAGTTCTTCAAGTAAAATTTAAAGATTCTAGCTCTAATAGTTTCTCAGATATACGAATTTTTCTATTTTATTCATATGGGGGCTCCAAGCCCCCCACCCCAGATGAAAGTCCGCTCTTTTTTCCTTAAAAATGTTCAGATGAATATTAAAGTTCTTCGTGCAAAATTTGAAGAATTTAGTTCTATTAGTTTCCCAAATAAAAAATTTTTGTTTTTAATTAATATGGGAGGTGCCGCTCCCCTCATGGGTAGTCCGCCAATTTATTACCCAAAATGTTTACATGGATGTTATAGTTCATTGTGCAAAATTTTAAGAATTTAGTTCTATTAGTTTCCCAGATAAACGAATTTTTGTATTTAATTAATATGGGAGGTGCCGCTCCCCTCATGGGTAGTCCGCCAATTTATTACCCAAAATGTTTACATGGATGTTAAAGTTCTTCGTGCTAAATTTTAGGAATTTAGTTCTATTAGTTTCCCAGATAAACGAATTTTTGTATTTAGTTTATATGGAAGGTACTAAGCCCCCTAATGCTACTACTTTTTGTCCTAAATGATCATATTGACACTAAAGTGGCTCCGACAAAATTTGAGGACTCTAACTGTTATATTATCTCAAATATACGGAATTTATATTTTCTTAATGTGGGCGTGGCTCATCGCCCACTTGAAATAGCCTATTACCTATTCCAGACATGCAGGAATACGCTGTGAAAATTTCAAGAAAATCGGTTCAGCCGTTTAGTAGTCTATAACGTTCAAACATACAAACATACAAACAAACACACATTCATTTTTATATACATATATAGATTATTATTTAGTGATCTTTTTAAATTTCCAAAAAAATTAATGAAACCGCATTCCAGAATACAATGAATTTTCTTCATTTATATTTTTTAATTTTTCCTCTTTGCCCTTTATTCTTATGCACCCCTTGTTCTCATTTTTTATATTTTTTACAAGTTTTAAATTTTTCATAGATGCAGTGAAACAACCCACTAAACAATTTTTGCCGAATTCGTTACGAAAATCGTATGAAAGTTTGCTCGGAATTCGGAACTCTTTGTCTGAGGAAATTCGAAAAAATGTGCAGAGTTGCGGTCAGAATTCGGTACAAAATCTGATATAAAATCCTGCGGAAATTCTGAAGGAATTTTCGACAAATCTGATTGAAATCGGAGAAATGTCTGATACCATGTCTTACATTCTTTCGACATTTCGTACGAAAGTCTGATCAAATATAAGAAAGTCTGATCAAATATAAGAAAGTCTGATAGATCTCGGATAAATGTCTTATAAAATGTCCAACAGTTCGTTCAAAAGTCTGATCAAGTATAAGAAAGTCTGATAGATGTCAAACAACAAGTCTGATCAAGTATAAGAAAATGGTCTGACTATTCTGATCAACGTCTGATGAAAACTATTTTCATATATATAATTTATTATGGTTTAATTTTATTAATTTTAATAATAATTTATAAGCTTCAATTATTCATGACTTCTTAAGGGTACATAAATAAATAATAGAAAGTTATAGATTATTCTAAAAATTAATAAAATTAAACCATACTACTTACATATTATATACGAAAATAGAGTTCATTATATACATCTATTAAAAATTATAAAATTAAACCATTAAAAATTATGTAAAATTTTTGCTAATTTTTGTGTATTAACAAAGTTTAAAGAAATTTAAACAATAATCATCACATATGCAGATGTTGTTTACTTGATTTCCAAAGACCAACTGAGAAAATAAAATTTAAATTCCCTTTTAAAGTACAGTTGACGAATTTCAAAATATAAACAGGTTTGTGCATGATTTTTATTAAAAAAAAAAACAAAATTTCCTTCAGATAATGTGCAGAGTTGTCGCAAAGTTTTCTTACAAAAGTACTGAAAATGGGAACAAAATAACAGAGCAAAAAATATCAGAAAATGTGCAGACTATTCTGTTAAATATCTAAAGGAAATTTATATTATTCGCTTAATTGTCTGAAGAAGTTACAAAAACAATTCTCTTCAGATTATTTACAGATTTATCGGATATAAATCTTAAGCCATTTTATATTTTTCTTCAGAAAATGTACAGACTATTCTCCTTTATGTCTAAAAAATTATATAGGAATAAAAAGCAAATTGTCCTCCGCCGATGTGCAGATTTGTCTCATAATTGTCGTAACACTGAAATTCCCTTTCGACAATGTGTAGGCAAGTCCGATGTTAATCGTTTAATACTTCAGAAAATGTGCAGAAAAGTCTAACAAACAGTTTGCCGATTATTCTGTAAAATGTCTAAAGGAAATTTAGAAATTCGTTAAAAATTCTGATAAAGTATAAGAATTATTTCAGAAAATTTCTGACATCAGACACGTCTAAAAAAATTGTATACTGGGAATCTTCGTTATAGAAATGTAAATACTATATAGACGCACACCTACATATTAATAGTTGTTATACCACTTTTTTTAATTTTTGCTGACCACAAATAACTAAATTTAAAGTGCAAAGAGAGACAAGAAAAATCAATCACCAATTTTATTTGTATTGTAACTTCAGTAAATTAAAGTTAAAAAATATATCCATATTTTAAAAATAAAAAAAAAAAAACAAATGTATACAAACATATTAATAAAACATTTTGTATTTATAATTAAATAAAATTTAATAATTAGAAAAATCTGCAAATGTAAAATTAAAGTGAATATAATAGTTGAATATTGTTTTCCAAAGGCGTATCATAATAATAAAGGCAAATTGAAAGTGTTCCAAACTGATCAACCATCTTCTAGTAATGTTCTGTATGCCAACCAAAAATTCGGTAATACTACTTAAGTTACAAACTGATAACTTATAATATTTGTATGTCTATTTTTCCCTACAGCTCCTGAAGACAACGCTGGAATTTGTTTACAAAGTTTAAAATACGATAACCTTTGAGTCGAAAATTTTAAGGCAACATAGTCTGCTTGTGTAAAATTTCATATAAACCAAATACATTCTGTACCTCGTTTCTGTAATTTTCTCGAATCGAGAAAAAACTTAAAATATAATAGTCTTCCAGTTTTTAACAGTGTGACTCAGATTATTTGTAAACTGTACTCATTAAAATTTAATAAGAAATTTTTAAATTTCTTGTATTCACCCTGTTTTACACAATATGATCATGAATTTTTCAACAGATTTTCTCGATTCGAGAATTACAGAAACGGGGCACTGAATGCAAAAATATTAAGGAAGCTGCTACACCATGGCCAAGTATCACCAAGTATCTACAGACCAAAAATATACTTACATACATATATGAGAACTTAAATATATATACATTAGACCGAGTCACAAAAAATGGTGCTTAAGTTACCCCCCTCAAAATATTCCCTGTTATGTTTTTTGAAGCTATGCACAATGGGGCAGACATATGGAGACGGTTGGCGATAATTCGAAAATGAAAATTGATTTTTTCGGCGAAAAAATTATATTGGCGGAAAGCTGACAGTTTTCTCTATATGAAACCGTAATCTGATTTTTTCAGTCGGATTTCAATGAACCGCTATGTCTTTTCAAAGTTAAGAAAAAAATTGTCATGAAATATTTTTTATTAATATACTTTTTTCATACACCTGAAATTAATGCAAATTTATGTATTAAAACCAGGAAAAAAAAATAAAATTTGCTCTTATTCCAATACAACAATATGTCGTGAATAAACAGATAACATTTTGGAATTAATTCAGAAGAATACTTGGCCAGGTTCATAATTTAAAGAAAATGTATATATTTTTGGATTTTTTATTATTATTTAAAAGTTTAGAAGTAAAAAAAGTATGAAATTCTCCCGAATTCTCCATAAATTTTTTATACAAAATACTCGGTGAAATGTTTTGAAATAGATTATGGTTTTAAAGGTTGCCACAAGTTGCCTATTGGGACACAGGCGGACCAAAAAAGATGTCATTCCATACTAAAATTTTAATTGTATAAAGTTTAATAGTTTATATAAAATAAACAAATGGAGGTATTATATCATATAAGAAAGTTCTTTATAAATAAAAACCTTTGCAGTTATTCAGAATAAAGATTAAAAATTTTCTTTTCGCCAGAGTTGCCAAATTTACAAATAAAAAATATTGAAATATCACGCAAAATCACTTAGTTTTTAGATTTTTGCATTCAATTTTAAAATTAAACAAAGATACCACGCAGTTTACTGATATATTTTTTTTTTAAATGTTTAAAAATAAATTGAAATAATTCACCAATAGTGCTCAACAAAAATATACAATTCGTTAAAGGTAAATAATAAAAAATATTTTGTAGGTATTATATTCGTATTTCAAGGCAGATTTTTTTAGAAATTATGTTTTAATTGTTGGATGCAGCTTTTATTCTTAGAAGAACAAGTTGTAAGTATTACATGTG